CCATCTGCCCTTTTCTAATGATAACCAGAATGAAAAGGCATTTAACCTCTTTATACTGGGGTCAGTTGTGGGGAAATAGGGGAGGGATGGTGGGGAGTGGGAAGCTGGGGAGAGATAGCAAGGGGAGAAATGTCAGATGTAGGTGATGGGGAAGAAGGCAGCAAATCACACTGCCACGTGTGTTCCTATGCAACAATTTTGCATGTTCTTCACATGTACCCCAAAACCTAAAATGCAATAAAATAAATAAATGGGAAAAATAAAATAAAATAAAATAAGAAAAATAAATAAATGCTTGGTCACTGGAGGTCGGCAAGGCTGTTGGGGAAGAAAATGAAGGGAAACTAACATTTTTTTGAATTCCTAAAGATCGTGACTCTCGTGATGGCAATCAATACTTATCACAACCTCCTGACATAGGTATGAAAGACAGTGTGGTATAGTGAAGAATGGGAGCTTTAGAGACATAGACTTGATTTCTGATCTTAACTCTCACCACTCCTTTAGCTACACATCCTCTGGCAAATTATTTCTCTCCAAGCCTCAGCTATCTCATCTGTAAACTGGGGATAATAGCACATACCTTATCAGGTGTTTATGAGGAGTGAATGTAAAGCACCTTGCACAGTGCTAGAATAGAATAGGAACAATTCAAAATTTATTATTATTATTGTGATGATAGTGATGATGATGAAGTCAATTTTGCAAAAGAGAAAACAGGTTCAGAGCCGAAGTATCTTGCTTAAGGTTACATAGCTAGTAAACTTAAAAGGCATCTAGCACCATATCTGGCACCATAGCAGGTGCCTAATCAACATTTTGTTTGCATTCATCCTTCCTGGTCTAAAACGCAACGATTTTTTGAGATCTTATTCCTTTAAAATAATGGGTTAGGCTCAGCTTTACCTCGATTGGTGCAAGATGCAACCACTAACATACATCTGCAAAAATTAAAGACATTTTCTCTGACTCATAGATAGTAATACATGGACTAAGACAACAAAGAGAATTCCAGATCTTACAAAAAAGATGATAATTGGGTCCACCATTTTGCCTAACATAGGACAAGTCATTTCTCCTTCAAAGAGCTACATATTTTCCCACCTAGGTGTCTCTGCAGATCGGCAGTCAGTAGCAGATGAGATCCTGTTTCAGATTTTTAGCTCCCAGATCTGTATACTTTATTTTATATAAGTCAGTGTACTGAAGGATGGTGCTGGCTAAAAATATAAATTGGTTCAAAATGTGTTTATGTCAGTTCATGGATGATAGATTCAGGTTTTTGTCCTTGGCCCTTTTCTACTCTCAACCCTCTACACACTCTCCCTGGGTAATCTCATCCATCCCCAGGCATCTCTACTCTGAGACACTGATGAGCTCAAATCTACTTATAACGACAGCCCAGATCTGTTCTGAATCCTAGACACACACTTCCAATCGCTGATGGGAAAAGCCACCTGAATGTCATACCAGCATCTTAAACTTAACATGTCTGAAAAGAAACTCATCTTCTTCCCTTCCAAACTTGCTCCTCGTACTGTGTTCCTTCTCTTGGTAAATTAATCACTATCCTCTCTGTTTCCCAAACTTAAAACTTTAGAGTCATCCTTGACTCAGTTATTTCTTTCAACCTCAACCAGTAATCAATTATAAAGTTCTATCAATTTGAACACACTTACATCTCTTGAACGTGTCTTTTCATCTCCACAGACATTGTTTAGACCTCTAACATCATTCTTAGCTCTGGCCTAATTCAGTGGCCTCACAGATTTTTCTCCCTGCATTCAGTTATTTCCAACTGCAATCAATCTTCTACACTGCTGCCTATACTTCTACAATTATCTTGTATACATTCTTATCCTAAAAAGTGTAATTCATCACGAAATTCTCCACCAATTAAAAGCTTTCTTTTTCAAAGCTTAAAGGAAATTTTAAAAATTTCCTACATTGGGCATGCAAGACTTCACAATCAGGCCCCAACATACCTTGTTCTCATCTTCCTCGGAGTTTTATACTTTGCACTTGCTTATCTGCTCTCTAGGAATGTCTTTTTGGTAAACTTTTATTCAAATTTTAACTTAGGTCAAATATCAACTTTCTATGTACCCTAATTCCTGTAAAGAAGTTAATTGATTCATTCTGTGTACTTCCACAACACCGTTTTTATCTGTAAAAGCACTTCATACATTTAATTGCAATAACATATTTTGAGTGTCTATTTTCCCCACTGCACTGTAAGTTTCCTACAAGCAGCCATCTCCAACCTCAGCATTGGCTTCAAGGTCTGACACTCATTAATGACTAAATAAAAGCTTACTGAATAAAAATCATCCATTGAAAGGAAGTTAGAATGACATCATGGAGACAAACTCCCCTTACCCCAAATTCCTTTTGATGAAACTGCACAGAGAGAAAATCTGAAGCTGGCCAGCTCTTTATACTGACTCAGCATAAAATTGCTTATGTTTTCAGAACTGTCACCAGAATGCATTCTTATTTCTACTCACTCAACCACTCTACATCCTAAAACCACAACCCATAAATCACAATTGTAAATTCGTCTTCTATAAAGATAAACTTACAGATAAATATTTTAACGAGAACTAGGCATTTCCTAAAGCCAAAAACATTTCCATAGGAAATCATTTCCCAGTTGTCAGGCAAAAGAAGAAAATTATTTTAGAACAAATTTACATGATATTAACTGAAAAAAATTGGAAAGATTAAAATGAATTCCTTGAATAGAAAGATATAAAACTTTTACCAATTATGTTAAGGGATAAAAATGAGTAATATAGTTAACCTTACAAATATGTAATAATTATTTAAGCGTTAGCATTAATTTTGGCTCAATTTAATGTTGTTTTTAAAATGTAAGATTCAAGCACTAATTAGAGTGTACTGTAGTTTTCATCTGTAATCATTTTATTTGACATGGCAATATTTAAAGAGTAGTTTTCAATGTATGATAAGCACTTATGTTTCAGTTGATATCAACTAATTCCTTAAATGAAACAATTATAAAGCATATATTATATGCAAAGTTTTATAGAAAATAGAGATCTACCAAGAAACCATGATCCCCATCTTCACTGAGTACACAATCTAGGAAAATATATACAATCATAATAAGAGGTAAAAAGAAGCCGAGCATGGTGGCTCATGCCTGTAATTCCAGCACTTAGGGAGACTGAGGCAGGCAGATCACAGGAGGCCAGGAGTTCGAGACCAGCCTGGCCAACATGGTGAAACCCCATCTCTATTAAAAATACAAAAAAAAATTAGCCAGGCGTGGTGGCCTGCACCTGCAATCCCAGCTACTCAGGAGGCCGAGGCACGAAAATCACTTGAACCCAGGAGGCAGAGGTTGCAGTAAGGCAATATCGTGCGACTGCACTCCAGCCTGGGTGACAGAGTGAGACTCTGCTCAACAAAAAAGGAGGGTGGTGTAAAAAGAATGTATTCTTAAAGTTCATGGAGGAAGATCACCTACACAGTGAAATAGCGATGATGTTGGGGGTGATGGTACAGCAAGGATTCAGTGGAAAAGGATGCTTGTAAGCTAGGCTTTGAAAGATGGTTGGGTATGAATAAAGAGAGATAGCAGAGGATTGTATTCCAAGAAAAATTTAACAGCACAGCAAAAGGATTGAAAAGGGATGGGGTGAGATCCAGGTAGACCAGTTAAGAAATAAAAAACAATCTAGGTAAGATGTAATGAGAGTAATGATCATGGGAATGGAGAGGAGAAACGGATTTGAGAGATGTAGACATTAACTCTGCTGGATGAGGAAAGTGATTAGATCAGAAAGTGTGTGTGGTTCACTGGGAGAATGGGAGCATCATTAACAGATGTAGGTGATACAAGGAAGATGAGTGGGATTAGGAGTGTTAAAATGATTGCTTTCACTTTAGATAGATTGGTTTAGAAGTGCTAGTGTATTATTCATTTGGAAATGCTGGGGAGCTTAACTGAAAATTTAGGACTAGAGTTTAGAAAGGAGGTTAGTTCTGAAGATAAATATTTGAAAGTCACTCAAATAGATGTGATCATTGAAGCCATCTGAGTAAAAAAGATTTCGGAGGGTTGGAGCAATAATTTTCAATCTTGAGCAGGAATCAGAATCCCCTGGGGTTTTGTAACCCAGAAATGGGTCCCACCCCCAGGGTTTCTGACTCAATATGTCTACAGTGGCGCTTGAGAATTTACATTCTAAAAAACATTCTCAGGTTTTGCTGTTGCTGTTAGTCAAGTCCACGCTTGGAGAACCGAGATAATAAAGTCCATTATTTTTATCACAGCATTAAGTTATTCATAAAATCTTGTGCCAATGTCAATATCTTCTACATCATTAAAATAGTGTCTAACACAGCTTACCCATCAATTGAAACAGAAAATCATATTTCTCCTAGCTTTTTTTTTTTTTTTTTGGTTAGAAACCATCTTGCCAATCCATAATTGAGAAACTAAGGCTGCCCAAAGAAGATGCTCCAAAATACGGCTATTGTAAGAAGGGTTCTAAAAAATTCTTATATTTCTTTCAGACTGGGCTGTACAATGTTTCTACATTCTGGTGATAGACTGGAACCCTGTTTGGTGGTCTCCACTAACCTGTTAGCTTTGTCAGCAGCCAAATATTTATTTGAGACTTTTGTCCCATATAAGCAATGGCTTGAAAAGCACTTAGCTGTTTACTTTTCATCTTACGATAAATTATTTATCCTTCAGTCTGTAAATGACTATTTGTAGGATTAGACAAATTTTGAATGCTCTGATAAGAGGACTGCAGCATCTAAATTCATGCATAATCCGTAAAAAGCACATGTAACCTACAACATCAGCTGGGCTGGCATATGAAATAGATTCTCCAGCATATATAAGCCGTGCGAATTATTAACCAGTTAACATCAGCAAATTTATTTTTGAAACAAAAGTTTACACATATAAGCATTCTCTAATGAGAAATAATATTCGTTATAAAGATCTAATACAAACATACCTTGAGTAGGTTTTTCTACTTCTTTCCTCTTTCTGCTCTGACTATTGTAATTCATCCTCAGCTCTTGGTTATACTCCTGCAGAGTTTCCCTGGAGTTGTATGACTGTCTTGGTTTTCTTCCATCTTCACTCTCATCGGAAGAACTGGTGTAAGCTAGATCCATTTCATGCTTTACTTTTGATAGAGGCTGGTAGGGTTTGCAGTCAGTTTGCTCCATCTCTGATTAAGCAAGATCAGTGTCATGAAAAACGGATGAGGAAGTCCTTTAATGCAAGCAGTTCTAGAAGAGAAAGGGAAAAACACAAGCCTTCTTAGATTTGTCCTTTTGTGAGAAAATGCATCTGGCAGATTCACAATTGGTCTTGATAATACTATCAAAGGAGCGAAGTAAAAGGCAAACTAGATGACATGAAGCTAGCCGGAGGCAATAATAACACTCTGTGTTACATGCATACATTGTCAGGCATTAAGGATTAAGCTGGAGGTTGCAGCATCAGAAAATACTCAAGGTAGAAGAGAGTCAGCCTTCAAAAATATTTGTATTGGAATGCACATAAAGGACAGCATTATTCTACGGCGTGTGCGTGTTTTTAATGTTAAAATCAGTGGTTAGATTAAAAAACATTATCGGATTTGAAAGTGGTGAGGAGTACAAAGATTAACCCAGCACATGCCACATTTGATGTGAAAACTGGTCAGAGAACTACATTCAGAAAGAACACATTCTTGCCTCCGGTTTAATATTACATTTAAGACAGGGGTTCTGAGGAAGGGAAGGATTCTGAGTGAGAGAGCTTGGGAAATAAAGTGTCCTTGAGGGGGACTGACCTCTTTGTGCTCATATTGTGGCTTTTGAGCCTCAGGCCTGCAGAGCATTTTTAATGAGTTAGGTGGTGGTAAATTTTTGTTCTTCATAGTACTGAGAGGACGTAAACAACACTTCTGGTGAGTATACTGGTATAGGAACAGCAGGATCTAAATCGGTTTTAGAAATAGCAATTTTAAACTTCATGATAAATCACTGAAAGAACCCCCTTTCCCCACAGAATGCTGAGCTAGGAGCCACTAAAGGTCTTAGGGCCAGTAGAGGCATTAACTGCTCTACTTAGCACAGGGAGTTTTGAGAAGACCAAGCGCCATCTGAGCCGTCAAAGTCCTCCATAAAGTTAAAAGCCTTGTAAAAGTGTTATTATTTTCATTCTTCACATTATTTTATCATCACCATTTCAGTCCACTGCTGCAGCTTTGCAACTTGGTCTTTTCATACAATGTTTAAAAATCTAGTTTGAAACCAATTAACTTTATGGTTTTATTTCGCAGTGAAATTGACTCCTTTATTTTTCTTCAGCTCTTCACCATGTGTATTTTCAAAGAAATCTATAGACATCTAAATGGTGGCTCCTTTATTATGTACACTATCTCATATTTTGGAATTCCTGTTGCACTTATGGCAAGCACATAGAACACAGAAATCATTTTAAAAGGCTTATAGCTTTTCAAAGCGTGATGCAGGCTGATTTTTAAAAAGGCTTATACATTTGACTGATATGTTTTAAATGGTTCATATTGTTTTGTAGTATGAACAAAGTTTCACAAGTCAAGGTCTTCTTTCCCTAATCAAATATTAAGGTCTTGAAGGCAGGATATGAGTCTTACATCTCTTTATATCCCCGAAACCACTAAGCATTACTCTAGGCACACACACAGTAGAAACTATTTAACTCCTGAACCTACAAACTGTCTTTGGAGACACGTAGCTTGGTTTGAACTAATATAAGAGATGAGCATGCTTAAACAGAAAGCAGACACACACACACACACACACACACACACACACACACACACACACACACGATTCAACAACAGTCTAATCTCATGCCAGTATATTGGCTTCATATACTGTCTACACACCCATAACTTCTCAGTTTATAGCTTCAGCATGGGTCTTTCCCCTGAGCCACAACTTTGAATATCCAACTGCCTACTCAATATCTGTACTTGGTTATCTACAAGATATGTCAAATATAACATGTTCAAAAGTGAGCTCCTAATTCCTACCCCTTCCCAAACCTAATCCTTTCATAGCATTCTTTATATTGGTATTAACAGATGGCCACAAGGCTCTTCTGTTTGCTCAGGCCAAAGAATCTGAAGTCATTCTTGACTCCTTTCTTTCACATCCCACATGTAATCCATCAGTAAATCCTATTGGTCCTACCTTTGAAATATATCCAGAAGCCAACCAGATCTCTTCAATTTCCCACTACCACATCAGTTCAAGCTATCATATACCTTCTGGATTATTGCAATTGTTTCCTAATTGGTCTCCTTCTTACACCATTGCCCTCCACGCTGCACCCAGAATAAAACTTTTAAAATTTAAGTCATATCACGTCTCTCCTTTGCTGAGAAGCAGCAATGACACAATTTTCCTCAAATTAAAGCCAAAAATTTTATAATGGCCTACAGAGTACGTCCAAGGTGTACCTCCTTCTATTCTAAGCACCCCAAACTCATCTTTGGACATTTTCTTCTTAGCTCATGTACCCTAGCTGCACTAACCCTCTTGCTGTTTGTGAAAACCCCCAGCATATGTGTGCCTCACAGCCTTTGCAACCTCCCATCAAAAAGTACCAAAAAGTGGTATGTCTCATCTTTCTTCTTGTCTTTCAAAGAAATTATTACCAAATTAAACACTATATATTTTACTTATTTATTTATCACTTGCCATTTGTCTCTGCCCACTAAAACATAAACTTCGTGAAGAGAGGCATTTTTCTCTCCTCTATTCATTGTGATGTCATTCAGAATAAACACAGTGCCTTTCATATAGTAGATACCTGGTCAATATATGTTGAATGAATAAATAAACAATTGTTGAAAAATCCCAAGAGGGGCTGGAGAGAATGTGGAAATGTATAAGCCATAGGCTCTGCCCCTGAGGAACTCACAGCTTAATATACACAATAAGTAAATAGCTCTACTACAAAGCAGAATGAAGTGGCTCTTGCACACAAAAAAGACAAATACAGTAATGTCTGAGAACTAAAGATGAAGATATTGGAAAAGGATGGCACTTGATTCAGCTAGCTGTCACCACAACCACTGAAATTCCACTGAGTATCTATAAGGCCAGTTTTAATATCTTTCTTCTTAGGTTTCCATGACATGACCTTCAGAAGGTGCTATGGAAACCTAAGAAGAAAGGTGGACAGTTGTCTGAGTTTGCTATAAACAGTGCAAAATGAGAACTGTATCAATAGCAGGCTTCCAGAGGTGTAGTTTTGCAGCCAAGGATTAGGCTTTCACCCAGAAAATGGGGCATCTATAAAATTCACCTAACATCAAAACAGGTTGTTCCTTTCTACAAATGCCACAGCTTCCCCAGTCCATCCCATATCCAGCCATGTCTCTTCTTTTCCTGGAACACTGATGATTTGCACAGCTTTAATCTAGCCCTGAGAGCTTTCTTAAGCTATGTGTGCCTATTTCAAATATAAAGTGGGCATCTTTACTTAAAGGTTCCTTAGGTATGGCAAGTCAGTATTTCCTCCCTCCCAAAATTCATTCATCTTCTCAAACTTCCCCATCTCTGTTAATGGCCACATTAGTAGTTCAAGTCAGAAACCTAGAACTGACTGCTCCTCCATCCACACAAGCATCTAACTCATTGCTAGGTTGCACTGCAATCTCCAGCTCTCTCATCCTTTCCATCCCAGTTGCCACTGCTTTAGCTCAGTCCCTCATCCGTTCTGCCTGAACTGTAGACTTTCCTTCCCCTATACCCTTCCTGCTCCAACCCAACCTCCATACTGCCACTAGGGTCATCATCAGAATCATCAGTGTAAAGTTCTTCGGTGGCTGTGAGAGCTGAACTATAAAAGAAATGTATTCATGGACAAGACACTGGAAACAACAGGGGAAAATAAATTTGACAAGGGTACTTGCATTATAAAAATATACAAAGATAGTCTCAAATTTGTAAGCTGTGAAAGAATATTAAATATTCAAAGTAGAGTTTAGGTAAATAAAAATGGTTGCTGAGTGGAAGAAAATGTATATACAGGAACTTGGAAAACCTTGCTCAGTTTTCCTGTTAATGTAAAACAACACCAAAAAAAAAAAATCTATTAATGAAAATACCAAAATCAAATTAAAAGGTAAAAATAATTCATCTAACTTCATTTCAACCAACACATACAGCTCTTTGTTCACTGAAGAATGAGAGTTTAACAAGTCAGTGTGGAGAACTATTTTCCACATAAGGCCATTGACAATAAAAAAATGGCAATCAAAGACTTTATATCTAAAAAGAACTTAATAAAATACTTTGTTATAATATAAAGATTAATGGATATTATTTTATCTTCTAAAGTACACTTTCCATCTCTTTACTTGCTCTTTCAATCAAGACTTTGGTTTGCTCTGATCAGAATTAACACACTCGGGGTATGGCCAGAATAACACTCCCTCTTAAACTTCAGTTGATTATGAATATACACTAATCTGAATGCCACTCAAACCTAACAATTTAAATTTAAAAATGAAAAATGTCTCACTTTGAATGCTGAACATTGTGTTTCAGCAAATATGATTTATCATGGTAAAATCATCCTTATTTTTATGTATGGAAACCTAGGCATTCTCTTTTCCCTCTATTACATTTATATGTAACCAGGGGGAGAAGCGGGGAGAGACGGGGGGGGGGGGGAGAGAGAGAGAGAGAGAGAGAGAGAGAGACTTTTCTGTAGCCATTACGAAACATTTTCAAATTTCTAATCATAGCTATTCATAGTCATGAATCAGGTAGGAGTGTCGTATCTATTCAAGGATATTGATTGTCCTTGGAAGCAATCTTCCTTTAAACCACAAAAGTGGTATAAACCAAGAAAAAATAATCCTTTCCTGCTCCTTGACCCTCAATGATAACTTTTTGTCTTAAAATTTGTATCAGTGGATCCAGGTGACAAGGAAATCTTTCCAGGTCTCTCGAAGCATGTGCTATGGAGGTGTACACAATTCTGTGTGCCTAGAGCTGTGAAATAGTAATTGTGATATTTGTCAAAGGCTCGAGAAACAGAGCTTGAATTCACTAATAAATAGCTCATTTTTTCCAAAATAAAAAGGTAGAAAACATTAAGAAAAAGATTAATATTTTAAATCCAACAACAGTTGAAAGTGTAATAATCCTGAAAGAATGTTGTTCCAAATACTCTATGGTAAAGGATAGGCTCATATTTGCTTAATTGACTTTTTCATTCAGTGCCCACCATGGCATCC